TTTTGAGCCAAGAAATTTACCAAAGATGCAAAAACTAACTAGCGATTCCCATCAAAGTAGTTGGTGCGATCATGGTTTTCTGCAGTTCTGTCTAGCTGACGCTTGCTGTTAAAAATATTCATTGGCCCATTGTTTGTTGTGTACAGTGATTGCCAGAATGTTCTTTTCGTTCAAAGTTTCCAAAAGTGACCACACATGAAACCTGGATACACGTGAAAGCCTGTTTCAAATTTTCAAGATCGCACATGTACAGGAAACATTTTCCCAATACTTCATCCTTCTGTATTTTCTTGTTCCCGATCTAGAAAAGTATTCCGCTGAAAGTTCCACTTATCCGCAAGTGAGGCCTATGCGTGCGTGGAAGCTGAACTTAAATTTACTGATTTACGGATGAACAGGCGTTCTGATTTCAACTCTACAGCTTTTTTGGCACCCAAATTGCCAAAAAAAGTCATATGTATTGGGAAAGAATCAAAAAAATTTAAGTCGGATAGAATTCAGGTTTGATTGAGGTCCCGGAGGAAAATCTGAAGAAAAAAGCCTAAAATTTATTTGTAATGGCACATCACTCGTGTGTGCGTGCCGTTCATGCGTTGCACGTGTGTGCGTGATGCATGAATTTGTTGCATAATATTAAGCTAAACACGCATGCTAGCAGCTTGCATCTAATCATTTTAGGGCGACCATATATCGAGAAAAACGAAATCCAAGAGTACAGGGCACCTACCGGCCAAGTGATAGAAATTCCGTGTCGAGTTAGTGGTAAGCCACAGCCAAGAGTACAGTGGAGCGTTGATGGTAAGCCAATCAGTACCACCGGACAGGAATATGAAATTTTGGTTTGTTTTTTGAACATAACTTCTGAAATACATTGCAACTATCACTCAGTATCTGATTCTCTTTGCTCTGACCATTGCTGCATCGCCTGGTGATCGGCCTACGGGTGATCCCGACATTCATTTCGACTAAAAAGATAACCGCCTTGAGAGCTTTCCCAAGAGAAGCGCATGGCAATGCTTCAGCAGTCTCAGGATGTCCCTGGTGTGCCTTCAGCATTCTTAGATCACGATGAGGTAACTTACCTACTTGAAGATGAAATTCTCGTACGAAACGAAAAACGGATGATACCTGTGGAACTACGTGCAAACACTTTCACAAATCACTGTATAGTTATAGAGAATATACTTCAGCCGGACAATACACTGAGGATTCACCACACGAACGGCGATCACACTGGAAAATACGTGTGCACTGCAAGTAATGTGGCCGGTCAAGCTGAATTAGCGGCTGGTGTAACTGTCCTTAGTCCACCTGTTATTGCACCGGGACAGATATCGTACAACTTGATCCAGGGCAATCCTATAACGCTACCTTGCGAAGTTGAAGGCGAACCGATGCCAAAAATTACATGGTATGTTACAGTCGTTTTGCACTGTTTTCTTGTGAAATTATTGATGAACTTCTGCACCTAACGACGTTCAATGTTCATCACGATTTGTAACAGTACTGGGATCAGGAAAGGACACGCCCGTCTCTTAAACATTAATGTGCTAAAAGTGTAAAGCTGAGGATCAAAAGGCCACTCATGACTACGTCCACTTGTGGTGCATTACTAACATGATTTCCCCACATCGATTGTTCAAGCAGTCTTAGTGTAATGTAACTTCACAAATAAATTTATAAAAGTCCGAGCTTTTTTCTCGTAAGCGACGCCAAAAACGCATGGATGGAATGGAAATTTCAACAGTTAATTTGGCCTAAATAGACTACATGAACAACTTGATTCATCTAAATTAGTTTTTGTGAAAATTAACAATATATTTTGTGACATAATAAATTTAGACACGAAACCGATAAAAATAAGTCGGTCAACTGTTCATTCAAAAGAGCTCAGTTGCAAGATGCGCTTTTACTGGATAGGTCATGAAATAAACAACACCTGCTTGAAAATGTAATGAAATGAAATAGAGCGTAGTTAAATAAAATGGTGTGGAAGGAATGACCAAAAAATAAGTAGGCGTAAGGTAAGGAAAAAGAAAAGACGGAAGAGTGGGGGTATAGTTATGTTGGAAATACTGGAGGTACAGAAGGGCCAAAGTGGCGGTGCTGAATCCGTCAATACGGAAAGAATTAATAGAGATTACGGAGGCTACCATAAAGGGAAAACAAGGAGCGAAGCAATTTAGTAAAACAGCTAGTGTTGTGAAAAAAAATAGGGCATGCAGTAAGGAAATGTGTGAAGGCTGATTGTAGGTTTTGCTGTCTGTGTTTCATCGCTAAGCTGCAAACACAGCATTCGGAATGGGATGGGGCGGGAATCGTCAGTGCAGTTCCCAAAACACTATGTGAAAGTGTTGATAACGAATTAGTAAGCAAGGAGTTGAGGCTGAAAACAAAGGAGGAGTAAAGGAAATAGATGATGACAAATATGGGGAATTTTCGAGAGGAAGGGAGAAAGGTAGGGATTGCTTGAGGGAGAAAAATAGTTTGTAAAAAGTACGCGTAAATGAAGGTCTAACGTGTGTGATATGATTGTCGGATTTCGTACGCTTTATTGCTGATTCTAGTTGGGACGTCATTCTGAAATATGAGGTAAAAGAAATTAGACGAGGTTTTGTAAGTGTAGCAGTAAGGGGCAAACGTGCGCGACGCCACAGTCATCACAGTATAGATATTTACTCAAAATTGTTTTGTATCTTCCCACAAATCTATGGATAATAACCTTTAATTTCGAGATGTCGTATCCCCGTTGGAGGTAAATTTTCAATAAGGGACCACCACACAAATCAGTCCAAAGAGGTACAGATGCGAGCATATCTTATCGTTTGCGAGATTAGGATACCCACGTGAAGAGTATAGTCAACACCACTATTTGGGTCGTTGAAGTGGTTAACAGTGAAAGGATAATCAAGACTTTTGTCGTATACGTCGAAGATACATCTGCTGTGGTGAAATGAGCTGTCTAAGTCAAGAAAACAGGCATGGTGACCGTTATGGACTGTATTAAGCGCGAGAGAGTTTCCAAAAATCTCACCTGAGATGGTGGGAAAGTCGGGGAAGAATGTCGTCAGTGTAGCGGAAATGTTTTAGCCTAACGTGCTTATGTGTTGATTTTTTGCAGGTACTTGAATGATGAGGAATTCAAAGGAGGTTACGTTGATGAGGACGGCTCGCTGACAATTGAAAGCGCCGATGACCTGCATCGTGGTCAGTTCAAATGTGTTGCTTCGAATGACGTTGGAAAAGATGAAAAAGTGGTTACATTAACAGTTCATACTGCACCAACAATTGAAGGGTCTGGCCAGGTTTGCTTTCTTCATGATTTTGTTAGTCTAGCTCAACTTTATTACCTGGGTTCCACATATGTGACCTAAATCATCGGGCATAAGTGCACCACAAATTGGTATCCATCCCACTGCCTGTTTGATGCATGTGCACCACCTCTTCGACAGTCAACCGACTGGTCATTTTATTTTTTCACGGCCTTTTATTGTAGGCTGTAATTTTGCTAATTATTAAGTATCGTATAGGTACCGCTGACGTTCATGATGTAGTGATAAGTAGCGCTGCTTCCATTTTAAAACTCGAAAGTTTTACTCCACCAGTGTAAGACCGAATCATCCCACAATTTGTTTCGATGGTAAATTGGTACTGACAAATGTCAGGGAGTTGATATCAGTTTGCTTTTCTGGCAAACTTCGGAATAGGGAGAAGCATCAGCAACATAGCTGGTGCTCGCTGCTAGCACGTGCTACCACTACGGTTACATTCGAGTGTCTCCGCCCTTTACAGAGAATAAGTCGAAATTTCGAGACTGGCTTTTACAGTGTACCGGTTTTCGGAATTGCCTACGGTCAGATACTGGGAACTAAAAATGACTATATCTTGCAGCTAAAGGTTATCACTACAAACGTTAACACATCGGTATTGCTAGCATGCCCAGCACGAGCTTTCCCACCGCCTTCACGCACGTGGAGTTATGAGGGTGATCGAATCTATGAAGGATATGTTCAAGGCTCCGTTAGTTTTTCAGTTTCGTTAGATTTCATACGTATTTTGCACTGATAAAGATGCAGAAACGCTTATTTTAGAAATCCACGTTTCAGGAGCTGAGACAGACACCTGACGGTTCACTGGAAATAACGACACCACAGATGAATCATGCCGGCCGATACACCTGCCATGTATCAAACCTTGCTGGTGACGATCACATCACCTATTTGTTGAAAGTTCAGGAACCGCCGAGGATAATATCCGATATTCCTGGTTGGTGGCTTATATCGTCGGAAGGCATAGTGAATTTGTCAGCTCAGTTTTCCTTATTATGCATTTTTTGCAGCTATGCAATGCGGAAAACGCATATTGACGAGAGGTTGTCTGTGTGTGTG